AGACTTTAAGGGGAGGTAGGGCAATCAAGGATCAAAAGGATTAAGAATTGCATAGCAATCTGTGATCAGAAACATCAAGGGAAAATAGTATCCGACTATTTTCTCTTGATACAAGTACAAGAAATAACAGGTACCCGTTAACAAGAAATAACGGTAATCCCGTTATTCAAGTACAAGAAATAGCAGGAACACGACAGATTACCAGAAGTATTTATTGCTCCCAAATACACTCTTAGAAAAAAAAAAAAGATGTCCTCTTAAGGGATATCGTACCAAATTCTGTCCAACTGCCACGTTAGATTATAAACATCTCGAGTTGGTTGGAGGGCCCTGGCTATAATGCTTCAAACGTGCTCAATAGGAGAGAGATCTGGTGACTTTGCTGGCCAAGGTAATGTTCCGCAAGCAGTAGAAAGATATGCAGTGTGGGAGTGATCATTATCTTGCTGAAATGTAAGCCCAGGGTGGCGTGACATGAAGGGCAACACAACGAGCCTTAGAACTTCGTCAATGTACTGCTGTGCTGTAAGGTTGCGTAGGATGACAACCAAAGGGATCCTATTATGAAATGAAATGGTACCCCAGACCATCATTCCTGGTCATTGGCCTATTTGCCAAAAGACAGTCAGGTTGGTACCACATCGCTGTCCGAGTCATCTCCAGACTCGCTTTCGCTGGTCATCGAGGCTCAGTTCAAAGCGAGACTCATCACTGAAGACTATTCTACTCCAGTCAGTGACATTCCAGTGCGAATGAGCCCGACACCACTGCAAACGGGCTTGACGTTGTACAGAGGTCAATAATAGTCGGTGCAAGGGGTGGCGTGACCTCAGCCCCCTTTCTGTGAGCCGTCTATGAATGGTCCTTGCGGTCACTGAAGCACTAGTTGCACATACAATCGATGATAATGATGCATCTAGGGCTGTGAGTGCCGCTCTGACGATTGCTCGGTCTTCATGTTCTGTCGTATCTCTAGACATACCGCTGCCTTCTTGACGCTGTGTGTGGCCATGGTTCACCCATTCCTACCAACATTGTTTAATAATGGCATCACTCCTGCTCAAATGTTGAGGTATTCGACGATAAGACCAACCACACGACCTCTCTCAAATTCTGACATCTGTGCATATCGTTCGCGAAGCATAGTTACTGTCTACCACAGTACACGGAATGAAATTCATGAAGAATTCGTGACCTGGAATCATAATTTCTCCTCTTAAATATCCTGCCAGTTGTGCAGATCAGATGCACTGTAGCGACAACCGTTCATTCATTGGCAGCCAAAATGTAAAATTTTGCATTTTCCATCGAAACCCGTATGCATATCAATTTGCATCCAAGTTGCTTTATATCTTCTCGGTACGTCAATTTTTTTGTCTAAGTGTGTATTACATATGCTGTAGATGATACCATTTCAAAATGTTACAAAAGATGTTCAAAATTTTCACCATAACAAGCGATGCATACATTACACTAATGGATCATAGACTGGCAGAAAAAATATATGTTCTGTTATACTCTATTTGCATATTTTGGTGACACAGTGCCTTGCCTTGTGATCCTTCTCATCACCAAATGGATAACCAAAAAATATTATCTTTACAAATGAATCACAGTTTAAAATTTTAAAATATTTAGGATCTATGGACAGATTGCTATATGGCAAAAGCCGAATAAAAAATTGAATTTCTGAAAAACTTATTGTGTGTTGTTAAGTAGGAGGGTTGAGGCATAATGGTTGGAGGATGTTTTGAAGCTTCAGCAATAAGAAATATAGTTTTTATGGAAAATAATATTGATAGCTGTAAACATATAAATGTTCTTAAAGAAAACCTGGAAGAAGAGTTTGAAATGTAAAATCCACGATAACCATCTTACAGCCCTAAGGTTTGCTTAGTGTTATTATACACTTATACTGAAGTTGTCAGTGCTATTTCATGTTCTCCAGATTTAAGAATCCAAGTTTCACTGAAAGCAATTCTTATAGAGCAACACTACAAAATAGAACATTCTTACATGCAAAATCATTACTCAAATCCATATGCCAAAGTAGATGAAAAGCGTAATTTCCGCTATGTTAATGTTCTGCTATTTTCAGGTTTATATTAAATATCAAATGTTTACTGAAAGTTTTCAAATACTCAGGCAAGCTCTTTTTAGAACTTTTTGTATACTTTTTTTAAAACCAAAAATGTTTTGAATATTTTTTTCAAAACAAGAAAGTTTTCAAAAAGATGGTCGATAATATACATGAAAAAAAAAAAAAAAAAATCAAGTTATTTTTCTGGTATTTAATAACAGATATTTGCAAATAAAACTGAAAAATGCAAGTATCCAGAAACAAATGTGAGCCATTGTAACACAGTGGAAAAAATTTGAGCACTTCATGCCTAAAACTGACTACAACCCTATGTTTATTTCAAATTAAGAAAATTAATCAACAACAAAAATTGTAACTTCAGCAGTCATTAAAAAAAGTTAATAAGATTAAAGCAGCAATCAGGAAAGCATTTTAGCAGCAGGTAACCTCTGAGAATACAATACTTTTCATTTAATTAACCTGAAAATGAATCAAAATTTATTACTAAAATTTTTTTCATTGTTCGGTAAGCTTTACTCAACAAACTGCCTTACTATCAATCTTAATTGATTATTGGAAAATTTATTACTAATACTATAAAATTTGTCAATATTTATTAGGGTACTTTCTTATTACAGCGGCTCCTGAGATTGAATCACTAATAAACCTAGATATGTCACCACGTATTCTTACATCAGCATCTTGTTTCACTTTTGGTAAGAGTTTCGAATATGCATTGGTTTTCTAAACGTATGCCTTGCATACTTGTGAATATACAGTTAAAAATCTTTTAATTTTCAAAATAAAGAGAGAGATACCATATAATTTTTTTCAATAAAGAGGTCTTTTGTGTGATAAATGAGTATGCGAAATTAGCCATAACAGGAAACTATATGTTAATGACGAAACCATTTGGAGGTATAATAATGATGATGAAAAAAAAAAAAAAAAAAGGGGCCTTCGTTTTGGAAATTAGTGGTTTCAGAATATTGTTGGTTACTGCTATTAGATTTATGTATTCTTGGGCAGAGGAGCTGACATCCATCAAATGGTGTGACAAACAGCTTAATTTGCTGCAACTGATTGAAACAATTACATGTGGGGAAATGTGTTCCCTACATCTCCCACATGTAATTGTTTCAATGGGCAAATAAACAGGCAGTTCCAATAAAATGGTAGAAATGAATGACAGTCTGTTCATTTGATGTAAGAACAACAGCGGCAGAGTACTTCTAGAACAGCGGATTTTTGAAGGAATATTCCAAGAAGATGGTAGTGCTTTGTCATTCAGATCTCAAGTACAGATTCCAGTAAACTAATGGAGAAAAATTTTCAATATATGCTGCTGGAAGGATATAAAATAGAGCAACTTGAAGCTGGTTACAGTCATTTTAACAATTATTAAAAATATTCTTAGCAAAAAAACACCTGAGTATTATTGTTTATATTATATATTGTGCCCTCTTATTTTTACAATCGCAAATCATGAGTTTGGCAATATCATGACTGTATAAGGTTGTGGACCAGTTAATTAAAAAAAAAAAAAAAATTCAATACTTTGTCAAAAATTTTATCTTCAATACTCTGTTTTGTAACAGTCTTGATTTCCAATATTGTGATATTTTGTCATAATAATTTTATTTCTTGCTTTTTTATAGCTAACTTTCATACCATAAATGATCATCAAATATTATAACACACTTACTTAATCAGTTAACTTCAGCTTGCAATGGGCATAAAGTTATTGTTAAAATACTTTAATTTTCTTTGACTAATTAATAATTAAAGCTGAATAAATATTTATTAGCATTTTATATTTTTCTGTCGACTTTATACCACATTAAAACAAAGCATTTCTTCTATGTATGTTATGTCATTTTTTTTTATTTACTTCCCATTGACCTTGTTTAAATTTAATTCTTTTTCCAAATATACAAAGTTTTTATTTAATTGAATCTTTTAGCATACTTTAAAAATTTTATTGATATGTTTATTTAATATATCAATAAAATTATTATTTTATGTACTTATATATATATATGATGATAAGCATAAATTGAAAATTAATATATAAATAAATGGGCTTCTATAGTGAAATTAGTAAAAAAGGATTAACGCTTTAATATACAATTGGGGAAGGGGGGAAAAACACCTATACATAAAGCCATACATAAAAGTAACATTAACAAACAAAATCTTAATCTAACATTTCTTTTCTTCATGAAAAGTTTTGGCAATACCTCCTTACAATAATCTAAACAACAACAAATAATTTCCGAATAAAACAAACGTTGAAATCTAAATGTGATATAACTCAGAAATCAAGGGCAGGGTACCTAAGAGCTTTTCTTCGGCTATACCCAATATTTAGAACTGTTATAAAAAGTAACATCTTATAATGTAAACATGAGTTACTTATCTGTGAATAAGAATTTTCATCTCAAAATCAATTACAAAATAACAAATATTCTTTAAAAATTTTTTCAAACTGAAAATATAGATTTTTTTTAATGTTTATGTAAACGCAACAAATAAAAAAAAATTGCCTTTGTATTTATGAAATAATTTCTACATTAAGTTACGTAGTTTAGTGGTTAAAATTAATTTACAAACAAAGAAATGCACGAGTAAAAATAACGAAATAACATAATTAAATTGAAGGACAACTCCCTAAATTTAACACGTAATGAGATGGAGAAAATAAAAGCAATTGCAACTAATATAAAGACAAAAATTTTTTAAATGCACATATCTGGTTTCCCTCTCCCATATAATAAAAGTTCAATAGAAGTATGAAATAAAATCTATAATTCACTTATGAACGTAACAGTAAAATATACGTTATCAAGTTATTTTCTTAATACCGTTTTTAAAATTAGGTATACATAATAAATACCTAAATAGTACGAATAAAACTTACCAGCGATCTCATAAAATGAAATAAAAGAATTAAGAGCAATTAAGATACACAAAAAATTTCACAACATCCAAAGGATAAAATCAAGTATGAAAACTTTTCATAACCTCAAATACTGCGTAATCGTTTCTAGTCAATAGATGGCGCTACCAGAATTAGTCTGTATTTTTATACAATAGATTTATTTTTCTCTATAATTTAAAAATGAAAGTTTTTGTACGGGATAACCAATACAAATTCTTTTCTACAAAGAAATACTTAATAATATAATAAAAAGAGCTTATTAAAGTACTTCCGTAAAGCTATTCTAACAAAATTAATCAACAAGAGGTGTTGCCAACACAAGATAGCAAATCTTATCAAAATTGTGGCTATACCGCTATTTTCGAATGTTGTAAAAGTGACATTTAAAAGTTACAGAAATAGAAAGGACAGCTGTTAGTTTAAACGTAAAAAAATTAGACAAATTTTTACTGTATTAGAAACACATATGAATTGCAATGTACATTTGTTGAGCTGTTATATTTTTGTAAATTTATTTGAATAACAATGTACATTAACTGTAATACTGGCCTGCAGATGGCGCCAGCATAACATCATTTCATCATTGAGTGCTATGTAAACTTAAAGCGAGAAGGTAAAAATCCATTTTGTTACAAAATTTATGTGCATCTATGTAAAAGAAAAAAAATTCTCACTGAATTTCTGAAAATCTAACATCAAAATTACATTCACAAATTACTGAAATTCTTCTGTTAATTCCCAATGCTTATCATTGCATGCAAAGGGTATTTGACAAAATATAGGTTTTATTAAGGCTTCAGCATAATTTATATCCCTGTCTAACAAGAACGTACTGACAGTTGTATTTGTTATATATATTTTTCTTGTTATGAACTGTACTATTACACAAAATTTTCTGCATATATTTAACGTCTCAACTATTTCACGAATTTATAGTATTTCAAGTCTCAAGTACACAATAATAATATATTCTATAATATTATATCAGTTACATTGTAATAGCATACACAATAAATGTTATAATGAAGAGTCATATTTTACTTCTCGTCTTTCGTGCTCTGTATCAGGCAATCTGGTGTACTGAGGACATAGCTTCTCAAGACATTGTGATCCCTGATTTATTGCCAGGCAAGCTGATGGTTGACTGACCGAACTTAGATCACCAAGAACTAATTGAAAGGTTCGTAAAACCCTAAGGCCTTACGCCACAAGCGTAAAATCTTAGGGCAATACATAGTTGTTCTTAGCACTGCAAGTCAAATCTTAACTTAGAATATCAATTATATGCGATACCGTTGTTTTATTCAAACGGTACAATCGACAAAAATCAATATCATCTAAAACATCGAGATCACAGTCTCTGTTTGTTACTACCAGTCGTGATCTCCTTTCAAATGACTGCAGCTCTTCCAACATCAACAAATCTCTCACAGCATCCATCTTTACACAAGTTTTTATCTTAGCATCGTTCTGCGCATGCTTAACATTAACCCGTGTAATAATCCACTACTATCGGTGAATCAGGATACGACGCTCAGATGTAAGTATAAGGCACGATTTTGTGGTTGTAGAATACCGATTTCGCTCTGACGCACTGGTTAAGACGAAAATTCATGAGTTAAAAAGTTGGTGAATACGGGTGTTAGAGTCAAGTGATTGAAGTTAGGAAAAAATACAGCCTTATCAGTTGATATATCCCGCTTCCTGTCACTGAAAAACCTGATGGTTTCTAAGAATAAAGTGAATTAAACAATACATATGTAATGTCACACCGTCTTCATGTGTTGCCTCATAGAGAAATGATTCCCCCTTCTTCGTATTTTAAACATTTATAACACACACAAAAACTAAACACTAGATCACTAAAGAATTGAAATTTGTGCATTCATGAATAAACTTTAAATTCGTTTCCCTAGCGGCTTCCACGAGCCTTCCCATTATTCCCAATTTTTGAAAAACTTCGCTAGGTAGGGAAAAAAAAAAAAAAAAAAAAAAAAAAAAAAAAAAACTGAAAGGTTTCAAATTTAAAATTACGTCCAAAGAGGCGTTTTTTTTTAAAACATCTTGTGTGTTACTTTTATTTATTAAAAATCATGTTCTTCGCACTTGAACTAAAGAGCAACATCGCAAAATAATGTTAAATTAGGCATATCTTTAGAATTTTCGATACACAGTCTCAAGCGCTGTAGATAAAAATGTTTTTTCTGTACAACGTTACCATTGCTCGTTTAATTCTTAAGTTTCTTAATCAAAAATTCGTTAAAGTTTTACAAAATATGAAATTGATAATAAAACAAATTCCAAAATTCACATATTCGCAGTAGGATTACATCATTCAAAATTTGATGGATCTAGGATAAAAGAGAAAAACCTATTTTCAGTAGTTAGTATAAATATTAGTTTTGTTAGCTTCTAGAAAATATTTTGTGTAAGAACGCAATATTTTGGGTTAATATAAAAATGCAATTAATATAAATTGCGTTAATAACAAAATCACTCCCTGAATCTCAATATATAATAAAGTACAGGAATTCTGTTCACTGAGATCACTGGCTCTTTTCGGGGTCTATTACGATTTCCTTCAAAATGGAAAAGTATGGGAACTGAGAATTTTCCATTTTTGAATGAAATGATAAAAACAAAAATAACGTAATGTACACTTCAAAATGTGTACACTTTCTAAGGAAAGAAAAGCACTTGAATATGTTGGAATAAACCCACTCTTCAGAGATTCAGTAGAAGAAGATGAAAAATGTACGATGCGAAAGAGCGAAGATAATTTATGAGTATTTAAAAGGCTTTTACGATTCACTGCTTTTATATTTTTTATAGCTGCTTGTCTCAGTGTCGTAAGCTGATATGTCATGGGCTTTGGCCATTGGTAAAAGTTTGCAAAGAAAACTTAACACCTAGGACTCACATATTTTTGTTATTTACAGCTCTTAGCAGGTTATCAAAACACTCTGGAAAACTTCATATAAGAAATTGTGCTGTAATCGAATGTATCTCGATAACAAACGCAAGATTAAACCATTCATATTGACAGTATATTGATGCTGCATTCCATCACGAATCTTAGCGTCTCTCACCCATTTTTAAACACACACAACGAAATCACAGGAAACATCAACGTCCCACTTGTAGACTAAACTAGATCAAGGTTTACATCGGGAAGAATGGCAAAGAAGTAATAGTCTGAGTAACCAAGATCATTGAAAATGGCATCTTGCAAATCTATCAGTTCCATTTGTCATGTAAAACCTCTAACGAACTATAAAGAATGCTGCCAGTAGCAACAGGAATGGGATATGTGTAAACAGGAGCATCGCACGCATTCCTATTTTGCATAAACCGAAGCAAATAGCCTGATGTGGCCTAGTAGAACTAATAAGACATATTACTGGACAATAAGTCCCGTCCCAGTTTATTTCCATAGAAATAGTGTAAACACCATTTCTATGAAATCCTAATAAGACTTACAGATTTGCGGTGTAAATAGGACTAATAGATATATGGAAATACTATTAGACTAATAAACACCGTTAGTGTGGGCAGATCGACATACTCCAACCTTCCCACACCTATTGCCTTTTCTTAAATGGATTGCATATTCCTTTACCAGGTATATAAAGGATTAAAAGGTTCTTTATCAGAAAACAGCAAGTAAATTAATCTGTTTTAGTTTCTCTTTAAAATGTCAAAATTCATAGGGGCATGCCAAGTGATGGGCGAATGTCTGGCTTAAAATAATAATCAATCAATTATCTATTGCTGGCTGCTCCCGTGAACGGCACATCATGAGTAGGTAGGTATCTTTTTGATTTTTCTTTTTATCAGTTGTGAAATGCTACTCTTTCAGACTCTCATTGCTATTATAATTTCAGCAACATCACTACATTGTCTGGAGGTGTCAAATTGTTTTTCCAGGATTGCATTCATTGAAATAATGCCCTGAAAAGATTAGCAACTAATATTCGTTACAAATGTAAGTATTTGTCAGAAAATATGCGGTATACTCTCTAATAAAATAAAGGGAATTTTTATTTGTTCGAAGTAACAGCAATTTGTAACCGGTTAATTTTTACCATTTTTTAGGCTTATTATTTAGAGTTTTTCTTGACCCATTAATTTGCACAATTCGCTCTCATTTAAAACAATTTAATTCGTATTTTGCAATTATTGTCAGCGACCTTTTTACAAAATTTTAATTTCTTGGTTTATTATTGACTGTGTTATACTGTCAGACTATGCTTGCTTTATTCCATATACAAGTTCTTGTTAAATGTTTGTTGTTTTGTTAATGCTTTTTGTTTGTAAATGCTGTTTGTTTGTAATTATACATATATTTCTAAATCATTAAAATGGTCCCGCTTTGTATAATAGAATTTTTATCACATTTGTAGGAAAAGGAATTTTATATGTGGGAAAACGAATAAAAGGGTCAACTTATGCGACATCGGAACTGGAAATAAGAGTTTAGACGATATTTAATGGATATGGCACTTTTTTTTTTTAAGTCGACTAAACATACGTTTTTAAGATAAAAAATATCTTGGAAATGATAGGTTAAAGAGAACAAAATTAAATTGAAATTACGGCAACACTTTATTACGATCAGCATCATAATTTACTACGGAGCTCAGTCTGTGACAGTCAAATTCATGTAAACATTGAAAAATATGCAGCATTGATTGAATTTTTCCAAAAGACATTAAAAATAGATTTTAAGATTTCAGGAGACATCGCCTTTTTCAGCATATCCATTTTTAGTCGACGTCAGATTTAACCTGGAAAATTCTAAATGTCAACTTTTATAGTTACAACCGCATAGACCAGGTAAATGAATGATTTAAGTGATATTAAAGAAATATAGCAGCTTTTCAGGGAGTTTTCAAACTTTTTTGACCGCCGCCCGGTACGAGATTTTAAATTTTTTCGCGACCCACCTTATAAAAAACATTTATTTACAAAACAAATTTTATTTTTTAATAAAAATCAAAATTTAAGTTATTTGTTTGTTTTATTTCATACACAAAAATTGCAAAATAATTATATAACAAGAACATAAGTAATTAAAGACAATCCATTATCTTCATTTAAAACTTAAAGTAAATAAATTTTGTTTTACATATTTTGACCTTAGTGCGAAGGATGATGTTGCTTTTCATCACATAGTAATTTCAAATTAGGACTTGATGATGTTAATTTTATTCCCAAATTAGGTTCGACATCCAATCTGTTTCGATACTTATTTTTTAAGTACACCAAGGCTGAGAACGCAGTTTTTACACGTATAAGTGGTGACAAAAGGTATTAAAAATTGTATCGCTTTTTCGCTTACGCTTGGATATTCCTTTTAACAGCGCAACAAAAAATTAATTAGTGGTGCAGTTTCAAATACTATTTTAAGATCGGTGTCGCATGAAATTTTAATTAAATTATGAACTTCTTGTTCACTAAGATTAAGCATTTCTTCCTTTCAATATCGACAGAAAAAGGATCTTTAATCCCCATAATATTTGAAGGAATATCCAGAAAGTAAAACTATTTATTAGCTCCGAAAGATGTTCTTTAATTGAAACTGATAGTGCTTCAAGATGTAAATCTTCTTCATCATAGTTTGAATGAGTTTCAATAAATTTATGTAATGTTTCAATAGATTTAAAATTTCCTTTTGAAAGTCGTTGTTTCCACAGAGTCATTTTTTTAATTATTACAGCGACATTTTCCGATACTTTGAAAATATTTAAACCAAAGCCTTTCAAATTTAAATTCAATTCATTGAATGTAGCAAATATGTCGTACAAATAAGCTTCTTTTATTAACCACTCGAAATTGTGAAATCTATCCTTAAATGGAAAAATAGCATCCATTTTAGATGGTGGGTGTTCATTCAGAAATACCAAGGCTTCGTCTTTTAGCTCAAACAGACCTTTTAAAACGTTTCCTTTTGAAAGAATCGTGAATTACAATACAGAAGGAGGTGCTTATGATCACTCCCCATTTCCTTGCATAATTCGATAAAAAGTCTGCTATTTAATGGACGAGATTTTATGTAATTTACAAACTTGACACATTCTTCCAAAGTCATGTTTAAATTTAAAGGCATTCGTTTTATCGGCAACACTTGTTTATGGATACTACATTGCACCCATACACAATTAATTGCTAATTTTTGACTTTGTTTAAACAAACCTTTATGACAGACTGCCATTGAAAGTGCTCCGTCGCTACTTAACCCAACACACTTCATCCAATCAATACCGTGACTAGTGACAAAATCCTTGGTAGCCTTAAAAATTTCTTCTGAGGTCGTTCTTGTCGGTAGCCTTTTACAAAACAAAAAATTCTCTTGTATCGTGTCTTTGTCAATATATCTGATAAAATACATTAGATTTGCATTATCCTCCATATCAGCACTTTCCTCTAATTGCAAGGAAGAAAACTTGCTCTTTTTTACTTGAGCAACTAGTTCCTCTTCTAAATGCTTCAACTTTGATGGTTTCATACTTTCATTTAAAAGTTGCTCATTGCAAATAACACATAGTGGCAAATTATTTTAACTGCCACCGGCAATGAACTCAAAGCGTAAATATCCGTCAGAATAGTTGAGAGTCCAAGTAGCTTTACGCTTGTTATTTTGGCGCTGTATATCTGCTTTAGGTGCTTCAGGCACAGTTTCTTCACGATCATGATGTTCAGCTTTGCTCATGCTTGGTTAATCATCACCATTTAAATCTGTGGTTTTCTTGATTAACCATTTATCCATTTTAAAAAGGTTGAAAGCTTTAATAAAAAGAATTTGTTTATTAATGATTTATAAGAAAAAGTATTTTAATTGCTTACCAATATGAAGTTGCTATTAATAGTAGGTAATAAAAACTATTGTCAAATAAAATAGGTAGCAAAAATTCAAACATAACCTTGTTTTGCTACACGTGGAATTTACGACGCATGTACCGGAGAAGGCACTGAATGACGAATCGAAATCAGCCAATCAGAGCATCCGAATTTAAACGGTCCGGTAGGAAACGGTGGTAAAGGGTTGCCATCTGCAGTACTTGAAAAAGTTTCGAAAAATATTAAATTTAGAGCAAAATGTTTGGTACAACTCTGATATACGCCCTAATTTCACCAAATGTGGCAATATGTGTTCTGCGCTGGTTTTTGGCGCGATTGCGTGTTGTATGGCAACCCTGTTGACGTTGAAAAGTCTTTCGCCTGGAGCTTCGTTGGTTCCCGTCATGCTTTGTGTCTGAGAAGCTAGGGGGGGAAAGATTTAAATGGAAGAAAGTTGTTGAAATTGAAGTTTCGGCATAAAGGAAATATCGTCGGGGTCCATCCTTGTTGAGGGGCAATGGGTATTTGGAGGTGTGTGGAAAAGAAGGTACCGGGGAGATTATTTTTAGTGGTTGTGCGTGATAGAAATAGGGATTTGTGATTATTTGTTATTTTATTTATTTGTGAACCATAGTATGAAATTTTCTGGATAGTGTGTCCTGGCTGTCATATAAATACGATGATAGTGAATTATGTGGCGGCATGTTAAAGGCGGTATGAAATTGGTAATTCTGCTGTTCGAAAAAGCATTAATGGTAATGCATTTTACTTTTATTCTTGTTCTTATTTTGTAGAATGTAATGTTCATTGTTTTTTTTAGTATGCATTTCTGTCGTTATTGTTGTTTTTTGGAATTGTTTGAAATTTATTTTAGTTATTTTAGTTGATTAGTAGCGTACCATCTGAATTGTACAATTCGTTAGATGTTTTTTTAAGTTGAAATAGAACGCTGTGTACATGGTATTCTTTGAAATTTATTGTTGTTATGTTAATTTATTAAAGTGAGGTGCGCGTAGTTCGTAAATTCGTTTGTTGCCTAAATTGTGCAATTCGTAGATGTTTTTTTTAAGTTGAAACAGGATGCTGTGTACATGGTATTCTTTGAAATTTATTGTTATGTTAATTTATTAAAGCGAGGTGTGCGTAGTTCGTAAATTCGTTCGTTGCCTAGATTGTGCCATTCGTAGATGTTTTTTTAAATTAAAACATATCGCTGTGTACATGGACTCTTGTAAAATAATTTTGGTTAGAAACTTCACGGTTTTGCTATCTAAATTTTTTGTTTTTGTTTCGGATTTTTAGCTTAAATTGTGTGTTCAAAACGTGGTTTTTGCATTCGCGAAAACCGTGTTTTTGGAGACATTTTAGGCTTAAAGTTCGAAATGTAGACAAAAAATTTAGATAGCAATATGGCAGCGTGGAGTTTCTCGCCAAAAATATTTGGCGAGAAATTTGGCGCCTTGAGGGCGCATATCAGAGTAGTTCCAAATGTTTTTGTGTTTTTACAATTTTTACCACTACCCAGCTGAATTTTTCTGCGACCCGGTGCGGAGTCGCGACCCACACTTTGGGAAACGCTGTACAAAGAAAAGGGGTGCTTTCGTGATAGATGTTTTTAAAGGAAACAGGTTCTTATCCAAGTTACACATACGTAAAGACCATGGATATTCCCATGTAGCCATACTGTTCGTCAGGACTGAAACTAGGCAGAACTACGAACGTTCAGCGATTATCGGTTTCCTCTAAAAAACTTTCCCTGAAAGCATGTATAGGTAAGCTAATACATGAAAAACTGAATAAAGCTGAATACATGTAAGCGGTGAATAAAACTGTAAATATGTAAATGCCTCGTTACTACTGAAATACGAGAAGGATATAGCAGAAAATAAGCCTGGAAAACTAATATTAATTTATTTCGAATTATACTGCTTACAATAAAAAGTAAATGCTGCAAAATAAAATTTAGATAAACACATCATTATTATTATTATAAGGGCACAGCCTCAATCCTCCTAGCAGGCACAACCCAGACGTATGATAAAAAAATGGGAGTGGCCAGAAAAAAAATGTAAGAAAAAACATACAAAGTCCAGTATTTCATGGGTGCTATAGTTTGGAAAGATGCTTGAAAGATATACGAAAGCTACTGATTTTTAAATTCACTTTTCCTTTGTTGACCACCAGCGGCTGAAGGGTAACCTGAACACTGGTAGTTTGTCCTCAAGTGGTCAATTTCAGGCGAACGAGCTGGTTGCGTCAGCATTTTCGTGTTTTTCACCATATGTAACGTGAATATGAGCCAATTTCTCTTAGAAATTCCTTCGCGAGAACATCCCTTTTATAATCAAATAAACCAAACCAAATCTGTCCTTTGTTCATGTTAAGTAAGAAAAGCCAAGGAATGAGTACTGTGAGATGGTTTCTGTAAGTTGGTCTGTAAGTCCGCATCAAAGCGTGCAGATTATCGAAATCGTGTATCTCTCAACAAACACTAATTTCAGAAATATATATTTTCAAAAATTAACCCTACGCGTTGTTAAAAAGAATTTTATGCATTATTATTAGTCATGGGAAAATATTAAGTTTTAAAACTGCTTATTTAATGCTTTTGATTTTTGCTGGATTAAATATCGATATCTTGAGTTCTAAAAAATAAGAGAACATTTCTCACTGTTAGCAATATTAAAACTGCGACAACTTTCTATAATCCATTTAGTATTTTAGACCTACCTTTAGAAAGGCATTATTCTTATCAAATTAACAAAATGAAAATAAATAAATAAATAAATGAAATAAAATAAATAAATAAAAATAAAATCTTTATTCTGGGTAAACATACTGTTTTTACATGCAGAAAATCATAATCAAAGGTGAAGTAACATTGGTATGTTATTTACGATACCTGCAATATTTATGAAATGAATATCTTCATCCCAGAGAAACGGCTAAACAAAAATTAAGGCTGTGACTAATAACATATCTTGTTTCGCTTGCCAACTTTAAAAAAAAAAAAAAAATTAAGTGAAATTTTCTTTTTTTGAAATTAGGCAGTCGATATCTGCTATTATGAATTTAAAGGATGAAAATCAATACAATCCATTCTACGCACGGTCTAATTATCATTGAGTGTTTGACTGCAAAGAAATGCGTAACTGTCCTTATTCATAGCCTTTTATTGGCCATATTTGTCACCCGTAGATTACTTTCTATGTTCCAAAAAAGTTTTACCTTAAATCATCATTTTGAGAACTCACAGATATATAGAAAAACGTGAAGATTTTATTCAAGAGAACTTTTAACAGTCTGATTCCCGTGAACACATCCGAAAGCTGTATGAGTATACTAAGATATTATGTGTAACATTAGACACAAAAAATACGTACGAAAAAAAAAGCAAGTCACAAAAATTGTTTCCTTCAAATCTCCATTGGTAGGCATGCTGCATATGCCTTTTACATGTTCCAATTATTAGATTCTTGTTCTTCTTGAAATCAAGTTTTTATACTCTTTCAATTAACTGAGTTAAAGAAATTTCCTGGCACAAGTATCATCGTTTTCTTAGCTTTAAAATTAATTCTAGTCGTTTTGGTTGAAGACCTATTCCTAGGATACCTTCCAGATCTGGTCTGGTTCCCGGTGGCATGGAGACATTGAATTTTTGCAGTAATGCTGTGACGTATAAGAATACCTCCACTTCTGCAAATGATTTCCCAGGACAGGCTCGTTTTCCTAGATGAAATTAACACAAAATTCATAAATGTAAATAAATTACAGTTATTTTTTTTTACATTGGAAAAAAAAAAAAAAAAAAACTTTTCAAACTAACTTTTGCAGTTAAATGCAGAAATTTAATTCAGCAGAACAATTTCGAGTAATCGAAAATTCGAATCAATGAGAGACTTGGCAATTTGCGAGAGAAAGTTCAGCGATGATTTGAAGTAGGTATGCAAATAAATGTTTCCAGGCAGCAAGCAAAAAGTTTGCGCATATTTTCAAGGGTGAAAAGTTTTTTCATATACATAGCAGACATTAATCATAAGAAAATTAAAGAATTCAGTTTTCAATCATATGTTATGATTAGAAAATTTCTAGCTAAATGATAGTAGCATGGTAGTATATCATTTAGAGGGAGAATAAAACGACGTATGCTCGATTGAAAGGAACAGTGCAGGTTGAAATAAAATATTTTATTTGCATTTGTATTTCTTTTCTTTTAATAGCAAAAACAATATCATGACAAACAGATGAATCAAAACAACACTCTACAACTTCCAAATATATATATATATATATATGTAAGAAGAGAAAATTATATGAATCAGAATAAATAACTATAAGCATTAATTCTTCCTCTCTATTCTAAAATCGTAATAACGTCTCTGCATTGCGTCATTTTTAGATCACTCTATGGCCCGCGCAGCTCTGATGACGTAATAATTGGGAACTGAAACTGCCCTTGTAAACCAAAACTTTTCTCTTCGGCGTGCTTCCATCCTTCATAACTACGCACTTCAGCTTTTGCTCTCTACTGTGCTAAGATGTAATTTCGCTGGCTTGCTTTCTATCTCAACAATATCAAAAATGTAAATCTTCTGTGGAAAGGCACGACTAGAGTGCAAAGTCATTGTGGCCACAAATATCAGTTGCCAATAAATATGGAATTAAAACTGCCTCGACTGCCAAGTTTTTTAGATATTACCAGGTTAGCATTACTAGCATACTACGCAATCAAATTCTTCTTCAATATGGGTCTAATCACGCATCTACGGTGTTCCGTCTTTTCCTTGTGCTTTTATTATGACACATATATATATATAATGTCCTAAAAATAGAGTTAATACTTATCATTTCTAAAATACACTACAATTTTGAGAACTTAAAAATATATATTTACAAGAGTAAAAGCACATTTGCTAACGGGATGATTAAAAGATCCTGAAAATCACGAAAGGCAAAAATACACTGCTGGCCATTAAAACTGCAGCATCAAGGAATGATCTGACGAACTTCAAAATCACATGAAAGGAAGAAGAAGTTGGGATATGCAAATGATTACTATTTCAGGGCATTTAGACGACGCAGGGGGAGAAACATCTGTAGCAATGAATAAAAGAAAAGTTGTGTAGTAAATTTCTCCTTCGGAAAGTGCTTTGTAAGGTTGGAGTTCGCTCAGAATATCGTATTATACCTCGAATAATAATAAGGAATGCTTATCAACAAGTTTCGAAATTCTATACAGGCAGGATCGTTGCCTATCGAAAGTGTGGTATACCGTTCCGTGATATCGCCAGTCGTACTGGTCGACATCCAACCACTGTCATGCGAATATGAGATCAATTTATTGCTCAGGGTCATACTGAACAGCGTACAAGATCTCAACGCCCTTCCATGGATAACGCCAGAGAAGACAGACATATTTTGAGGTCAGCCCTGCAATACCGTACGACCACATTACGGACCATTAGTCCGAAAAAGGCTATGTTTGCAGCACGCCCAGCATCTGCTCGTAAGGTGCGTCAACATTTGCAGCAGTGTAGATTATCAGCAGTGTGAACATTACTTCGGCTTCGCTTGACAATGCAGAGAGAGATGAGATGATGACAGAGAGAGATGGCGACACTGGTGCGCCAAGCGACAAAAATGGATACCGAGAGCGTGTTGGACCTCCACTACTGCACCTGGAGGTTAAAACACCTCGTCTAAAAATTATTCTTAAAAAAAGAACAGGAGTGGCCCAATGTCGCCTTTTCAAATGACTCCCGGTTCTACGTGCAGTATTCTGATGGCCGTATACATGGAGTGTCCGAGCAGAGCGCATGTCGCTTGCTTGCATTCGATATCGGCACAGGGAACCTGCACCTAGTGTGATGGTTTGGATAGCCATTGGGTACAAGACACAAACGTCTGTAGTTCGGATCGATGGTAAATTGAACGCAGATGGATACATTTGTGACATCTTACGTCCAGTGGTTGTGCCGTATCTTCGAGGCCCCCAAACGCCATGTTCCAGCATGATTCAAGACCACAGGTTGCACGACGTGTTCTGACTTTCCTCGATAAACAGGGTATTCGACTGCTGCTTTAGTCTGCATGGTCTCCAGATTTGACACCCATTGAAAACATCTGGTCATGGGGTTGCTAAGAAACTGGCCCTTCACCCTTCTCCAGCTAATACGGTTGATGAAATGTGATATAGACTTGAAGCAACATAGAATGAGTTGCTCATTTCTGTCATCCAAGGCCAGTTTGACTTCATGCCTAATGGGATAAAGGCCGTTTTAGCTACCAGGGGTGGCAGCTGTTTCTACTAATTTCGCATCCCTGTAAACCTTCAAAATGCTTACAACATGCCTACTGTTTACGCGCAATAAATATCTTTTTCGTATTTGCTTTCCTTCATGTTATTGCAATTTTAATGGTGTACTTTCAATTGAGTCCGGAGAAACAGAGGAACAACAACTGGAGGAAAAACATCTGGAACTGAACTGGATAAACAACTGCAACTGGAGGAACAATATCATCGCATAGTTTGGGTACAATATCTTGAAAGGAATCGTAGGTGGAAAAGGTACGTATTCTTGTTAGTGAATCACGTCCAGTTTGCATATGGAAAATCCGTAGTTCAAATCCGTTGAAGTCACAGTTTCGTTTTCTCTCTTTGTTCTCCAGAAAACTCTCCAAACATCCTAAAAGAATTTGATCTGTATTCCTTTTGCACATAACGAAAACCTCTGTAGCCAGCATGGTGATGGTAGCCAGCCCATTCAGTGAAATTCCAACCAGATTTAACAACAAGAGTACAGACGTCTTATCCTATTGCCACTTATGAACTATGAGAGATCGTATGTCTAAATATTTTTTGAATGATATAGCCTAATCGTAGACTCAGAACTCAGAACTTTGATTTAGGAGAGGAATTATTAATTAAGTTCTTAGAATTTTTGTCAAAATGCGACATCTCTTGATATACATGGAATTTTCTACGTTTTACACGTGCTATATAAAAAAAAATATTAACGATAAAAATATTTTGCCAAATAAGATAAAATATAGTTGCTCATATAATAAAACCGTAGATAAAATCAATTAAAGATTTTTTCGGGCACACTTTATAAAAAAACTAAATTTTCAATTGCAAATCCCTAAAAAAAAAAAGAAAAAAGAAAGATTCTTATGCTAGTAAATCTTTGGTTTTTGCGCCATAATCACTCACTCACTCACTCACCACCTCTGGATTTGGTACATGTATCTTTTTAAAATTTTTTATTAATAAGCATTTGATTTCATAAAATTAGGTCATCCCACCTTTTGTTTGGCGCATCATAATCATCTTTGGTTTTTGCGCCAAAAAACTCACTCACTCACTCACTTATGCTAGTAAAACAGGATAACACAAGCAACAGGATTTCCAATTTCCCTTTGTAGAAAGGCCAAAATTTGAAGCTTTTTATCAACAGAATCTTTAGAAGAAGTTTTATACGACTTACTTTATTTTAACATAGATACATCTGCCAGGCTTTCAGATAGATAAAAATAATGTATGAGGTTTTTTTCTGTAACTAGCTATTAACATAGACTGTAAAATGAATTCTTTTATTTAATTTTTAATTATCAACTTATCTTGTAGATATTTATGCTAACATTTAAAACAAACTTTTGCAGAATTCAGGATTTTAGATTGCAATCTAATATACGGAAATACGTTAATTTCTGCTTAAGTTGACTACATACATGTTATGTATCGTAAAATTCGAACGAAATAAAAATTGCAAAATAGGTGAATTCATCAAAAAAACTGATCATGGCAAAAAAACGCACATCAGTTATTATACCATATTTTCAGATACATAATTTAGATGACGACACAAAAGTTATTGCAAAAACACAGAAACTTCATACCGATAGAAAAAGGAATGTAATATTCAGGTTTTATAACTTTCTTTCCATCTTCACTCAAAAATCTTTCAGGACGAAAGACATCAGTATCATTTCCCCAGAGTTTCTTGTCATGGTGTACTGCCCAAATGACTGCCAGAATATGAGTATTCTTTGGAATGAAATATCCATTCAGTTCAGTGTCTTTCAGTGTGCTGAAAAGTATTGCCAAATAAAATAAAATTCACTAAATTGAGAGTTCACACATATTTAAAAGTGTTAATACGTAAATGTGAAGGACAGATAGACTAGCATATTAAAATCACTGCAATGAAAATGATAGCAAAGCCAAATGAAGTCACATGTTTAGTTATTTTAGGAAGTGAATGGAATAATTGCCAATTAATTTAACTCAATTTAATTGAGTATCAGTGCCTTGTAGCAAAATTTCCTTTCTAAGTCTTTATAGTATTGTTGAATGATTTAATCTTTGTAGGTTGTTGGTTGTTTAACAAACTCAATGTTTTCAAGAGCTTTTGATTACAAAAGTGCGTTGTATTCTACTTTGAAAAAGACAGCTTTAAAACTTTCTCTCACGGACAATGAAATTTGTGCAAATATGCTAAAGCAGCGAAGGTACATAAACTAACATATGTGCTAATCATCCAAATTAGATGCAATTGCGTATGACAGCATACTTCACAGAGATATTACAAGCACGAACCAGAAGTGTAACAAGCTGTCATATACTCAACTCGACATGAAAGCGAAAAGAACCGCCGACGTACAAAAGAGTACAAAATGAGATGAATGTAAATACCAGAGACGTCAAGCTATACCTACTATATCGATCGCTTTACACCTACCGTCCCATGGCGTTAAGAATAGTGGACATGTAACAGCACCCATATCCGATTCCAGTCGGACCAGAAAGACCGCAAAAGAGATGAGTGAATGACTATAAGCCAGGAATATGCGGATACCGCCCAGACTTGGCCTATTATAATAAACATGTTTAGAGTCTCCTGCGCTTGCAGTGGAGCCAGAGCAGAGTAGCACTGAATGTCACTGATTGGAGATATTTGGTATTTAGCAATGACTACACCTTCGTTTTGTGGAGACATGATTATCATCATTTTGTCAAAATCACAATTCTAACCTCTGCTATGGAGCTACACACTTGTCCTATTGCAGGTTCTGTGGTCTGGGGAGTTACAGTCTTCGTCTAGTATCGGTATCGTCTAGTATTGGTATCAATCTAGTATTGGCATTGAATTCTCAACTCTGGTTCAGATCCTATGGCCTATGTATTATTTCTGGCTAGAATTTCAGGGGCGATGATAAAGTAGGATAATACATGCCGGACACGGCTGGAATAATCCAGATCTGTCCACATATCATGTTCAGATACCTCCATGATTACCAATTCCTTCCGCATGCATGGGAATTAACGGAAGCTTCAAGCATTACTGTACCGCAAAATTTGAAACGTACTGCTTAACAATAATAAACCTCTATGAGCAGAATTACGTCAGACGTCTATTGGGTTCTTTATCGGACCGGATTATAGGATGCATGGCAATTTTAGCTGGTACGATTTGCATTTGAAGATCATCACCTACCACAGAAAAATAGTGTGTGTGTAATTATGGCAAAGCCTCGAGGGCTGCCTAAGGGGAGGGATGCCTTCGTGGAGGACTTTCTAAGGGAAACTGGCTCGTATGCACGTTATACATGGGAAAAACCACGAAAACTCCCATGCAGCCAGCCCGTCCGCGGGATTCGAACCTCGAACCGAACTACCAGTGTACAGCGACTTTACCGCTCGGCTGCTGGTGGGCCTCCACAGAAAAATAGAGCAGCAGAAGAAAAACAGATCCTTCTATAACATTTTTACTCTATTTATACACCGTCATTAAGTCAATAAAATTTCAGTTTATCCTCAGATACATTTTGCATGATAACTTCATGGTCCATGAGTATTTATTGAAATATAAAAATACAGCTTACAACTATAAATACAATATTCAAGTTTTATAAATTCAGTTATTTGTGGTAGCTTCTCAAATTTCGTTTAATATATCGTTTGTTTGTCCTTGTATTGGTTATTAGTTTGAATTTGAGTTTTATCTTTCTAAATCAGTAAATGGAAATTTTGCATAAAATTCCAACATTTGAATTTGATAATTTCATTTATGACAAAAGGTGGCTTGTATGAAAACACTCGTCTGAAATTATTAAGGTTCAGATTATACGTATTTAAATTTTTTGATGTTGAATGTAGTAATTAAAATGAACTTCTAAAATATAGACCCCTAGATGTCTCAAAATACATGAAAGATTCAAACAAATAGTTACACTATTGTATCTAACTGATAATCGTTACGCGTTGATAAGTTACAGTCTCTCCTTAATGCTTACTGTGAACATAAGATACATAATGATCGTTAACACAAAACTTTATCCCTCTCAAACTGGAAGTTTCATGCTTAAAATAGTATAAAGCAAGTTATTTAACTTGTTGTTAGCAGCTACTTGCCGGAACTTATTATTATGATGATTATATTACTGAATCATTCCTCTAGCAACTATACGCGAGACTAAAACACTAACTGGGTCAGATAGAAAAAGAACAACAAACTTTCAACTCATACCACCTGTGATAACGTTGGTTGTTCATTTCTGCATGGACGCGTGGCTCCCTAGACAAGCAGCAGCACCAGCGGCCAAAGTTCTATTCAGAATCATAAACCAGTTACAATTTCGTTCTCATTTTAATCCAAGCCGACACCATAAATTTTGCAGATGTCTGGATTGAGCGAGCATGTGACGAAACAAAGAAGAAACGAAAGTAAGGACATAAAGCTACACTGTTAGTAAAATTTAAATCAATATAATATAACGGTTGATTATATATATATATATATATATAACGGTTTCACACTTGCAAATGAGACAGTTTTACTTTTTCTTATCTCATACTTCCACAAAGATGCTACAATAAGAAACATAAAATATTTTTTAATCTCCCGGAAATAAAGACAATTTTCTTGTAAAACTTAAATAACAGTACTAAGCATGTTGTAAGACAAAAATTGCATACTTGAAAAAAAAAAAAAAAAAAAAAAAAAAAAGTGTCACGAGGCTTGTTTCCCCCCCCCCCTTGGTATCTGGAAGTACAAAGAACCATGCTTGTTTGGTAAACTACAGTGTTTCATCTTTAGAAAATGAACACCATTCTTCTGCTAGTAACTTTTATGCTGAAATATCTAAGCAGCATGTATTACAAGTCGAAACAATAAGTACATCTTAAGAAGCTATTCTGAAGCTATGTGAATAAGAGATTGAATATTTTGATTTTATTTATATCTAAATCAAAAGAAATAAAGCTAAATCTTACCGTCTCATTATATTCAGAGGCAAAATTGTTTTCCATCTACCTAGCTCTAGAATGACAGCTTCTGTGTAGGGCATCTGTAGGTGATCTGTTCTAGTTGGAAATCGTTCTTGTCCAATGACATCATCGATTTCCTGTTGGATTTTCATCTGCACTTCTGGAAAAGCAGCGCAAACTAACATTGTCCATTCCACTGACAAACGCACTGTTTCACTTCCAGCGCCAAAGAATCCTCTTGCGATGTCGGGTAAGACACCTCCTGGATAAAAATATTTCGATATTTGCAGTGCGGTTCAATATATTACAATTCTGCTCTAGAATTAGTAAAGATTCAATACAGATTCATTACACGACAATATTATAAGAAATTAAAGGCCTTCCTTTCATGCAAGTTTTGTGTTGTAACGACAACACTTAACTTTTTGCAGTGGCAACCACGATAAACTACAGATCTACTAATTCTTACTACCCAGAAGGAGTGATATAACGTCTTGCATGGTTTGACAGACTTGCAAATGATTGTTCTATAGCCGAGCTAATTTGTTACATTTTATGCAATACATAGGAGAATTTCAAGTATCCGAAGTAAATGAGATCACATCCTTCCGAATATTAAAAAAATACATATAATGTTTCCCCCCCTGCAGTCAATAATGTATTTATTGTACAACAAGTGAGGCTATTTTACATTTTCATATGTCCTGCTTAAAAAAATGATGCAAAATAAAAAAAAATGTAAAATCTTTTTTTTATATGTAAAAAAAAAAAAAAAACTTGTCAAAATTAAATCTCAGTAGTGCTACAATGCATGTTATATGAAAAACTGTTCTTACTTGAAGGGCCACTGCTTCGCCATTGAAATCCTGCCATTGTTTTCTAAGGCCTTCATGTATCTATGAACTGAAAATTCTCATAACAGTCATTTGAATGAGAACAGTAATCGGACTGTATCATTATTCGTAGTACCGTATATTGCGATACTCCCGCCATCGAACTCTCAGACGTACCAGTATAAGTTGTAGAATCATTAGGATTTATTTTGGAAGCAGAAGAAATGGAAAATGAGCAACGCCTTAACCGGGAATCGAAAAGCGGACCTCTGGAATACGCGCCCAGTGTGCAGACCACCACACCACGAAGACATGCCAAGAAAGCGGGAGAAATACCTTACAAAGTTTTTCATCTTGCAGGAAGCTGGTTTGGTTTGGTTTATTTGATTAAGAAAAAAACACGTGAGGACTATCTGTTTTAGCGGAGAGATGCTTTCGAGGTAAAATTTCTAAGGGAACTGGCTCATAATCAACCACCCATGGGAAAAATCAAGAAAATGCTTATGTAGCCAGCCCATACGCCTGGAATCAAATACAGGTAGAACTACCAATATTCAGCGACTTTACCGCTCGGCCACTGGTGGGCCTCTTACACGAGGCACAATACAACTTCCAATCCATAAACAAAGAATAAACGAAATCTCCCAATAAAAAATAAGCATTTCAGTTTGCCCTTTTTATACTGCTACGATGTGCTTTAATGTGCACACTCCGTGAACTGTTAATCATGTACATATCGCAGTACATTTTACCAATCATGCAAGTTTAAAGCTTGTTGCGAGCTTCCTTCGAGGTGTAGCAGTTTTAATGCTCAGTAGTATGTCCATGTGCCAGCAGATCGTTGCTTTCCATGTAGATAAAAAATGTAGTTGAAGTCCTCGAATAAGTTGTGTAGCCGTGCTGCAGATGTTCCTATTTTCAGATCAACGGTAGTTTTGAGAAGTATTAAGTGGATATTTTTAAGTTCTCCATCGGCTTTCGAGATACTAAATACCAGACTATATATTACCAGTAAAGACAAAGTTACCAGTAAAGAAACTTAGAAAATTTTTTTCACAAAGACCAAGAATTTTTGGAGGAACTATTATAATTAAAATACATTGAAATGGTTCATCGGCTAATTCTGGATACAGAAAAACAAGGATTTTTTAGCGGAAGAGAGATTTCATTTGATTTCAGTGTTTCTCCTCTTGACGAAGTGGCAATGAAGTTGATTGAATTCCTCTTCTATTATGTTCTTTTTTCTTTTAATTTCATCGATTTTTTTATTTGGAGTAATGCTTGTTTGAAAAAATTGGTTTTTACATTAAAAAAAAAATTTTTTTTGCATTTATAGGATTATTTGAAATTTATTACTTATGAATTTCAATTTTTGGTCTTCGTGTAAAATTGGTTCTAAATTTCTTACTTTATGTCTTTACTGATAATTTTTCAGCAGCTTAATGCATGAAAATACTAGGCATGATTATATTATAGAAACATAAATGTTTAAAAATTGTTTTGTAATTATGAAAAGCCTATAGATTACTATATATTATAGAATTTAAAAGCTTCTGCTTTGTCACAGAAATCTGGAAGCAAAGAAATTCTGCTACTTGTTTTAGGGCTTTTAACTAATGAATTTTCAGAAGTTACAGTTTTCTTTCAAGATAAAGTTGTAGAGACATTAGGATTATTTGGAAGTAGGAAAGATGAAAAATGAGCAAACACCTTCGCAGGGCATCGAACCACCGACCTCTGGAATATGCGCCCAGCGTGCAGACGACCACACCACGAAGGCATGCCAAGAAGGCGGGAGGAAAACCTTATAAAGTGAACAGATCTTTACATTGCTAAGGCTGATTTTCATTTATTTTTTGCATGCATTTATTTCTTAACAACCTCTCCGTGATTTCTGTTAACTGTACAAATTTAAAAGTCCTGATGTTAACTAATATGTTAAATTTCATCCAAAATCTATTTCATGTCCAAACAACAATGTACGATCTATAATTATACTACGGAAAGGTAAACTGACTGTTTCTAAAAATGAGTAATTGAAACAGAAGAACATTTAGTAAGGACATATTATTAAATGTTATACCGCCCACCCGGGATAGTGGTTAGTGAATCTAATTGCCCTACGAAAGAGCTTGGGATTGAATACCAGAGAAGGCATGGATGTTTGCAAATGTATAGTGTCTTTGCGACCTGGGGGCACTCGAAATATGCGGCGAGCGGAAAGTCCTCTCGAGAAGTTAGTGTAGAGGAAGAAATGTGGTAGATCCTCGAAGTGTTGTCCGTCGAATTTGGGGGCGGAACTGAACAAAGTCATACTTTCACCTGTATTGTGCCCAAGGCTCATGCCAACGACATTCGCAATCTTGCATTCCTTGCCAAGATGAATTTCGTGGGCTTGTTCTGATTTCAGATAAGCGAGGTAAGTCCCAACAACAACAACAATAAATGTCATTAAACATTACAAGAATCGCAGACATACTTTTAAATGTGGTATTAGGCTCATCGGCTTTCTTCTTAATCTCTAGTAAATATCCGTCCACAAAATCGCGTATGTTATTTGGATCCAAAGTCTTTTCGTGGTCTTCCATTTCTTCCCTGAAAATATACAAGCATAATTAGATTTAACTGAATTAGCAAGTAAAAATAGAGCTTTCATCAATAAATTCAATATACTCCTGTATTTACTCACTTGACTTTCTGTATCTGTTATTGTAACTGACATGGTATGTACCTAATGCAGAATCGGAATATACTATGTTTAACATAGGGGCGAGAATCAAAATTATCTAGCAGATGGCCTTAATTGAGATACGTTACTCCATTTCAGCACCCTAGGGCTATCTGCGTATGGGAAGTCATCATTTCGTGGAGGACTTTCTAAGAGAAATTGGCTCGTACACATGTTACACACGGGGAAAACCACGAAAACACCTATGCAGCCAGCACGTTCGCCTGGATTCGAAACCATGTCGAAACTATCAATGCTCAGCGATTTTAACGCTCGGCCGCTGGTGGGCCTGAGAAATCTAATGACACAAGGAATTTGCTGAGAAATTGAAGATTGATTAGTCATCACATTATCATATAACATCATTTACGAAGTCTTGCATTGCCATTATATTTAATCTAGATGCACATTGAAATTTGGGCTAGATGGTACAGAAACATTTGATCCTGCGACATAAAACAAAACAGTATGAATGTTTGTGAAACATCATTCTAAAATCATAAAGGCGATCCCCCCTTCCAGAGTGCGCTGAAGTTATCTAAAAGGGCGACTGATGCTCTAAATTAGGGGTCTTCAACCTTTCTCGCCCGAGGGGGCCACATCAATAAATTCACAAAGATCCGCGGGCCACTGGCAAAAAATAGTGTAGTCAGAAAATTTACATGAAAAAGGGAGGTTTGTTTTGCAAGACTACGACTGATTCCAAGTGAGGATATAGTGTTACACTTTTGTATATATATATATATGTGGAAATCATCGACGACCGATGCTGACTTAGAATACCTAGCGATGTGACGTCATCCCAGCTTAGCACAGTGTGGAGCAGTCGAGACATCGCCAGATAGCGTCCAGACGTGGAGAGGAGCGGAGGCAAGCAGACGGCTTGTAAATCCTCCAAGAGTTGGTGAAAACAGATGGTTACCTTCGATGTTTAAGTTCCTTGTAGCCAAGCTGATCATATTATCTAAAGCTAGCTGTGGAGGTTACAAGAACTTATTCTCTCAAGGTATGAGCCTACGTGCCTGTGGAACTGATAGTGTGTGAGAAATGTTCATCATTACATGAATCCTGTGTGGACTGAGTATAACTATCATAACATCACCTGCAATATTAATTTTTACTTAACTTACCTTTTATCTATTTCTTATTAGTAAAATAAAGCATATAATAATGCAATAGACGTGCTCTGTCGTGTGTGTTTTGAAAGTAAATTCTACATATATATATATATATATATACAATTGGTTGCAGAAAGTCAAATGGAAATCGAATGCAACATTTTTAACTATGAAAAAAAAGTATAAAGATGATTGTACAAAACGATGTTACAAAATGTATTTGCAGTTAAAAAAAAAAAAAAAAAAACTTACATTATTTGGCGATAGTTTGAATGTGAAATTTGACATTGTTTTTGCCTGATTAAAGCTTCAATATCCCGTTTAATCTGTGTTGTTGCAACTCGTAAAGTTTCCTCCAAATGTATGTCTGTCAGTCGTGTTTTTGTTTTTCATTTTAGGATTTTCATTTTACTAAAACGTTGTTCACATATGTAAGTACTGCCAAAGTTAGCAAAATATGGAAAAGTGCATGTTTACGAATTCCTGGATATTTGAGTTCGGTCACGTACTTCGAATAAAAATAAATTAATGTAGGATTATCAAGGAACTTGCATTTTACTGCAGAGTCCCACTGTAAATTTATAAATTCTAACTGAAGTTCAGGTGGAACACTTCCAACGTCTACTGAAAATGGCGACATTCGGAAAATCTGCTTCTGAATTCCTCTTTCAAATTCGAAATGCATTATAATACATAATTATTTGAATTCCATGTTATAGAGTTCTTCAGACCAACAGTTTTGGAAAGTGAGTAGAATTCTTATTTAGCAACTGACTTTCCCACAGGATTAATATTGTCTCAAAAGCTCTTACAAAGTAATAAAGATTATGAACAAATAGATTTTTTCCTAGTAAGCGGTAGTTTAAATCATTGCGATGACCTGTAATATCGACAAGAAATGCAAAGTCTCTCAACTATTTCTCTTCATTGAATTCGTGAATACATGTCTCTTTAGATTCCATGAATTGTTGAACTTCGCTCTTCAAAGAAAACAGGCTCTGAAGAATCTTTTCTCGGCTCAACCAACGTACTTCCGGTTATACACAACGTCACCATATTCAGCTTCCAAATCACTTCAGAAATATTGAAATTGCCTGTGTTTAAGTCCTTTAAACAGAATGAAATTTACCAATTTTTATAACAGAGATAAGAATCTACCCTTTTTCTGGAATTGAGATTTTTCGCGTAGTTAAAATTTTAATTTTTAAAATTACATAAGATACAGTAAAAGTTTTGAAAAACTCGTTATTTTTAGAAAATTTTATCTCAAATAATATCAGGCATGTCAATAAAATGTTTTAAATATCAAGAATAAGAGAAAATTAATTTTTATTACGACAAAAATCTGACAATGCAATTTTTCTTGAAATCAAAATTTTGTTTAATTCTTCAATTTTTCTTCAAACTGAAATGGGGGGGGGCACTAAAATGCCTTCAGCGGGCCACTGGTAGAAGACCTATACTCTAAATGATATTAAAGGCGCGGTATATCAGTCCGTGGTCGTGGGGGGTGTAAAGATAATGTTTATATGGCTGTACTGGAGTCTTCTCTTTGCTCTGTACTCCAAGAACACAGAATTCACAACTGACATTTGCTGCCGCATTTACTTTGGATTAAAATCTAAAGTGAACTGAAAACTGAATTGAAAGAGAACTAATAAGATATTACTCTGTTTCTTCTGTTTATAAATTTGTAAATACTTTGTGTTAATGAATATTAGAATAAAGTACAAATGCCTTTTCGTTTATCGAGATTGTTATTTATATTTAAGAATTCCGAATCCAGGACAAAAAAAGCTGAAGTAAGGTAATTTATTTATCTTTTGTTTCTTTTTGGAACTTGCGTTTCGCAATACATTCGTTGGTTTACATCTGCGGTAGTAATATAATCCGTTTGTTGTCTTGACATATCGCCTTAAAGAAACAGGGCTAAACTTACACAAACATGTCGAAGAAAACTAGCGTTTTTTATTTGACATGCGTCTAAACAAAACCTGGATATGAACGCATGTTTTTGCATAATACAAGTATGATCATATAAGTATTAGACTGTCGCTGGTAATTGCTATATCTTTAATTATTATTGTTGCAGTTAACAGCATGATTTTCACATCTTTAATAATTAATAAAAGAGATAAAATACATGCTTAAGACCCATATTTTAACACTGTAAACAGAGCCACGAGCATTGAATACTGGTTGAGGATGGGTAGAGACCACAGAGGCTCTTTTTGTCTTAGTTATTATGCAAATAAATTAGTTTTACGTAATTAAATGTCGAAACAAGACAGTGCAAAGTATTATTGTATTATTGTAACAAAAGACTCAGAAGTATTGAGACTATTGCTTGTGCAATCTATTTGTTTATCAGCTGAATGATGTCAGTAAGTAAATCTAAAACAAAGACAGCTTCTTACGGCATTTGGAAATAAAATAATTAAATAGTATCTAAAATATAATGAGTAATTATTGGGTTGAGAAAAAAATAATATCGGTTTGCACAAATAGACAGCGTTATGTTCGTTTTGCTATTCTTCTGTGAATCTCATTATTTTCTTTTTTGAGATCTTGCAACTGACACTTTAAGGTTGCTAAAGAGTCAAATTACGCGTATTTTTATTTATAACTGTTAGTTTTCGGTCAATTCGAACACGACATGCAAAAGTAAACACTTTCGTGATAGTTTCCTTTTTTTTTTTTTCTCATAAAGGCAACACAAAGCGTCTGAGGCTCACAAAGATATATGTGAAATGTTGATTGCTAACAGAAAGCATGTATCGGAACTGGTTTAAGGAATTTCGTTGTGGAGATTTTTCGTTTGAAAATGACTAACGTTCTGCCGCTTATTCACAAAGCCTACAGACCGTTTCTTCTGCTGTTTGCTCCGATTGGTTAAAAGAGGTAGGGTTATAGAATCTAGTGCTTGGCGACTTTTGGTTCATCGCCTATACAATTTGTATTTGAGCGTCGTGTACCAAAAAGTGAGCATAAACCACCGGAGAAACCGCAGCACAGTGGTAACGAGCGCGGGAATAATTCTCAGGCCTCTAGGTCGCCGGTTTTATCCGCGCTCGTAGCTTTCAAAAACTCTGCTCTATAAGGATTTATTTTTATTTTAACTTTATTGAATGACTTTGTCATTATTTGTCTTTTCGCCTTCGGGTACGGTGTTAAAAATTAAACGCCTTTATTTTCTCTATTTTTGTTAATGTTAATTTTTCTTATTTTTATTTACTAGTTTGTACTCTTTGTAGTAGGTATCATTAAGCAAGATTACGAGATTACCAAGATCCCGAAAAACGTTTCAATAGAAATAGCGCATAACGGAATAAAATATAATTTTAGTTATACTTACTCGTAAAAAGAATAGGTATCCGACTCCCTTAAATGTTTACTGAATGTTTTCATTTGGTTATTTTTTTAATATTTCTTTATTTGTATAAATTAATGCGCTATGAAAATTTACACAATAGACTCTTCCTAAGTGAAATAACGAAAAAGTGCATATGCTGTCTCCATATAAACACCTTTTCTTGTAAAACAATTACGTGGTTTTTAAAAAAGTTTAAATTCAAATACAAATAAACTATTAATAAGATCAGTAGGTTATTTAAGATATATTCCACACTATTCCTTTAAGCTTTCATTCATAAACTAAAAAAAAAAATGTTGAATGAAATAAACGCTGTTTCCGTTCGTTTAGCGTTAATTACCACGCCTACAAGGCGATAACTCGCCATTCCAAATATGACCGCCAAGCAGATGTTTCCTCCAATGAGAGCAGCCCGTAGCGAAATTGTCTGTAGGCTTTGTGAATATGCCGTTCTGCCCAAGGAGGTTAGAATAGAAGGAGGGAGGGTTCGCAGTTTCCTCCACTATCGGGGAACGAAACTCCACGGAACAAGCGGCGTCCATGTTTGTTACTTCAAAACATTGTAATACGGTAGTGAAACGTACGTGTTTTGTAAGCTGTTCTATGCATGAATTTTCCAGTAAAAATAGTTTAAAATTTATAATGAAATGCTTCGCTATTGTTAGTTTTTTGTTTTAAAGTTATAAGATGTTATCTGTAATTTACTAAGTACAGAAAATCATTAAGAAATATTCGAAATCTAAATGCATGTGCATAACATTAAAGCCTTTACAAATTATGTTTCTGCATAATTTCTAGAATTTGTTAGGTTTTATTAGCAACTTCTCTGGTATACTTTCCAATTGTTTCTTTAAGAAGTGATATTTCTGATTTATTCGCAATATTATTATAATTTATTAAAGAATCATTTTTACCTGAAATTAATAGCAGATAATTATCTAAAAAAATGGTAACATGTTGCTTTTTTTTTTAAATGAAAGTTTTAGATAGATTCTTTTCACAATCAACAACCTTATATCAACAAGAAAATAAATATTAATAAAATAAAACAGATTTATGTGAATTCAATTATTTCAGTTTATGCGCGTTTCATATTTATGAATCTCAAGAAATTACCTTGAATTAAGCTGAATTACAGAAATATACCTATATAAATTTTTGGATATATCTTTTCACATGTTCAGTTGTGTAAATATTTTACTTACGTTTATCGCTATATACTGCCCATAAATTTGTAAGCTTATGCAAAAACATTTTAACAACAGAACAGTTTATCTTGATCAAATGCACAAAATTATATTCGTAACAGTTCACAAAACTTAAGAATGAATAATAATTAATACATAAAGAAAAGCGTTGCTTTATTTAACACCTTTACAATTCATAAAAATAGTAACAATTTATTTCTTACTTTTCGTGAAAATTATAAAACGAATTATCTAAGCGTTCAAATTATACAGCAAGCTATATCCTAGCATATATCATTGTATGTTAAAGAACGAAGATACCAGCTGTAAGCAAAAGCATTAAAATGTATTGTATTTACATGTTTCGATTATTATTAAGTCTTTTTTGTCACATCTGGAAAGAAACAACATGACATTGTGACATTTTTTTAACATATTTATGAATTTACATAAAAAAAAAAGAAAATACTTACGAGTGAATAGTAATCCCAGGAATATTTTTCGAAAATCTTCTGTGCATCCATATGCAATATAAGCAGACACATGCTTCAAAAGAAAAGGAAAAAAAAATGTTACAATTACAGACTTCCTTGCACAAGTCACAGTGATAACAGTAACATGGCCGCCAAGCTTCACCGTTTGAGTTGAACCTTCCCTCCTTCTATTCTAACCTCCTTGGTTCTGCCCGACCTCTTGAAGTTGATTATGACAAAATTAAAGCCATAATCGAATCGAATCGTTATATGACTGTGAGAAAACTTGCAAAAAGGCTAAACGTATCACACACAACAAATGAAAATGTCGTAAACTCATAAAGAAGCTCGATGAAACAAATTCACTTAATACAACGAACCAATTTTGGCGATACCAACTTCAAACCTAATCGATTCAGTCTTTTTTTAAATGAATTATCACTGGAGATGGAAAATGGAGCAACTGCAATAACATTAATTAAAAAATATCATGGTCCAAGCATAATGAATCACCACAAATCCTATCGAAAGCTAAATTGCATTAGAAAAAATATCGTGCTATCAGTTTGGTGGGATTACAGAAGCGGTATGCATTTTGAGCTGCTTGCCAAACGATAAGCTCAGTTATTTACTACCAATAACGTGTGAAACTGGAGAAAATAATCAAAGAGAAAAGGTTAGGATTGAAAAATCGCCAAAGGAATCGGTATTCCACGACGACGATGCAAGGCCTCATATAGCTTTAGCAACAAGCACGGAATTACGGGAGCTTGGATAGGAATTGATGTCGCATCCCACATTTAGCGCCGACTATCGGATTATCCTTGCACCATCAGATTTTTATTTATTTCGAAGTTTACAAAACTTCTTAAATGGTAACAATTTCAGTAATAAAGATAACCCCAAATCGCCCTTAGTGGTCTTTTTTTACTGATAAATGCCGGAAGTCCTACGAGCGTGGAATCATGAAGTTACTGGAAAGATAGCAGAAAGTCATGGAGCAGCATGGAAGCTATTTCATTGGGAAGCTAATTATTTGTATAGAAAAAAAAAAAAAAAAAAACTGAGTTTAATTTAACACTAAAAAACCGAAATTACGCTCTTGAGAACACGAAAAGTGGCCATATAGAGTCTAAATCCAGTGAAGAAAAAAACAAAATAAGTAAAAATATATAAAAATGAGAGAATACAAACGCATAAAGCCATATAAAATAAACAAAATAAAACAAAGAGTATAAATGAAAGAGAAAAATATAATTACTAAATAAAGCAGGCGAATATGTCGACAGAATAATTTAGAGACTATAAGGAAGTATACCATCTTAGAAAAAGAACACAATTTATACATATTAAATTAATATAGGCTTCATACAAATTGGCACCTAAAGAAGAATTTCAGGTATTTCGAATCAATGATTTTACGACAAATGTAGGAATTAAAATGACAGAGGATTATTTTGATGCGTGATAATGAAATGTAAAAGAAAGTTTGCTCAGAAATATTTGCAGGCAATAATTATAAATTTTATGCACATAAAGCTTTTGAAAAATAGCAATAGCTTGTTTAAAATTTCTAACTATACTCACAGTCAAAGGTATACACACTATTCTGAAAGAAAAGAAAAAAAAAACTCAAGTTTTATGGCTTATAGAGTTCTACTAAAAATACTATATTTAATACGATCCCCACAGAATAAGATTTCTATAGAAAAAAGAATTTTACCTTTAAAATTAGAAGCATTAAGTTGAAACCACATGAACAAAATTTAGATGATATTTCAGAAATTTAACGAGTTAATTATTTTCTCTACATGGTCGACTGAAATTCACTTATTATTTTGAAAGAAACTTCGTGAAGCAGTAACTGCATGCAAGATACGTAACGACAATTAATATCCGTGTCTTGGATAAAACTTCATTCGTTGTTAAAAACGTAACTGGCCCTGTTATTTTTGTTTACATTTTTACTCAGCGAATCTCCAAAAATTTTGCCCTAAAAAAAAGGTAGAACCTTTTACTCAAGCTTAAGAACAATGAATTTTTTATTAACTATAATTCTGTGCGGATCATATGATGTTTAGATTTTTTTGCAAAATTTTACTCGCTTAAAAATATCCTGAAATATATATCGAAGTAAATTAATTTTGTTATTTACAAACACATTATTTGTTGCAGTTTCATATTCAGAAAAGGCAATATTTAGGTCTAAACCACGTACCTACAATATTTCTTCACTTCAGCTAAAGCTCTTGAGAGTTTTCCTTTATCGCCAAGGTTAAAGAATGTCATAACGGCAGCAATCCAGGGAAAGAAGATCTGCCAAAATAACGCTCCTGCAATACGACCAACTTCGTTCAATTCGTTGTCCAATTTTTGCCTCTTCGGATCGCTAAGCTTAAGTACTCTGCCAAATATGAGGGCTGCAATGTTATTTGAAGTACTAGACGTTAGCAACTCTGCAAGTTTAACAGGAGATCCATGGTAGTCTTCTATACACTGGAGAAATTCCAAGATTTCTTCCTAAGACAGATGAATATTAAAGTTAATAGGACTGAAATATGCTTACTACTGTATAAAAATAAACTCAAACATTATCTCATTAGTTAACATTAAACATTCTCCTGTGCTCACTTGTGATTTTTTAGAACGATAATCCAGTATCCCGTTTGCTCGACTAGTTAGGAACTAAAGTTCTGTCAAAATGCAAACTTAATATTATTTCTAATTTTTCCGCTAGTGAATAATGTTAAAAAAGAAAATATATTGCTTGCGCACGCTTTCAAAAGCTAATCTGCAATCTATGTGAAGACGATCAGATACATTTAAAAATACAATCAAAAAAAAAAAAAAAAAAAAAAAAAAAAGCTTTCAAATTTTATATTATGCACAAAGGAGGGACTTTTTTTCATTTACACACACATAAATGTTTCAAGGGTCGTTTCAAGATCATTTCAATGACGTTCCTTTGGGCTAAAAATAGCAGATCTTTAAGAATTTCCGATATACAGTCTCGCGCCCTGGAGATAAAAATGTTTTATACTGTAAAGTGTGCCATGACGCTTTAATCGTTCAGTTTTTATCAAAAATTCGTAAAGTTTACAAATATGAAATAGATCATAAAACAATCAAAATTAGGCTGCCAAGTGCCGATATTCGTGGAGGACCCGCTTTCGAATTTTGGCTCTAGTACCGTTGTTTGTGTAGAACATGTGAAAAATAATCATTATGGCAGATTTTATTTTTAATTTCTTTAAATATAATACAGGACGATAATATTTAGTGGTAACAATTTGAAAAGTGATTCAACTCTTTTAATGATTCGAAGCAAAATGCTGTTCGAGCTCTTCTGGGCTAACGCCCATTTGGGCTAATAAATAAATTTTATTCGAAATGAAGAAAAGCGATACTACGCAATAAAGTGAAAAAATGTATTAAACTTGAAAAATATGAAAAAAAGAATAATATATTCATACGTTACATTACTGTGAAAAGCTAAAGCATAATTTTAAAGAATCAGTGTTCTAATGATATAAGAAGAGAATTTTTTTTCGTACACTTTAATACAAATGCAATATACTCTTCACATACCGCAGAATGTACCGTTGAAAATTACAGCGGAAATATTTAGATGATTTTTATGAAGACAAATTATAGAAATCTGGATTTCTGTACAAGTACAATTATTAGGATGTATAATCATCTGAAACTGACGTTCAGGCATTTTCCACAGAGATATCTAGATTGCGAATTTAATCTTATTGATTTACACCCAGTTTTTCCAGGAGTGCCAGTGTATCCTTCTGAAAGCTCCTGAAAAATGAATACATAAACTTACGCATTATTAATTAATTAAGATAAATAGTGAGACTACTACCTTTAAAAGATGTTACTTGAGAATTAAAAACATCATTTATTATCTCTGGTTGCTTACAGAAATTCTGTTTTATATTTGAAACTCAATTGGAAGATTTTCGAGTCTTACAAAATTTAATTTTGCCTGCGAAAATCAGCAGATAGTTACATCATAACTAAATTATAGACAATAAGGCTTGCGATTATATAAATTGAAAACTACTGCAGTCCTTGTCTTTGGAAATTAACAATGTTGAAGTAACTGATAATGGTTTACAGTTAGTAGAAAACAATCAAATCTCATTTCGTATACCGTAATAAGCATGTACATAAATCTTAAAATATAACTAATATCAGGTTGAGTAAGATTATTCACAGATAAATCACTAACATTTTTTGATACACTTTGCTAATTGATCCAATAACTTCTCTGCAAATTGGGCTGTTGCAAAGAACCATAAAAGCACTTCTTACTATGTAATATTTCAAGATAATGGCTCTATAGTTATGTTATACTTTATTGTGCGTGTTTTTTTTTCACACAAGGCTGATGTGCATCTTCTGGTAAGAATAAGTTATGTATCAGAAATTAGAAAACCAGTAAGACAAATTTACCAAAATTGTAACTGTTAATCAAAATCGACGCCACCTTAATGTTAACTCTTATGTTTTCTGATTTAAACCTTATGCGGTGCACCTTGTTCACATGGATTAGAAGCATGTTGCATGGGAAAGAACGAACTTTGGGGTATATTCTCCTCGCATATTCATTTTGTAGATAGTAGGATTTAAATAATTTATTAAAACATTAAAAGTAACAGAATCCTGTATATAGAAAAATTGTATTAAATTTATATACAATTGATGAAGACTATAACTTTACTTTCAAGAGTTCCTCCATGCGCGTTTTACCGAAACCAAGATCTCGAAGCATGTGCAAACAAAATCTTCTTTGTTCTTTCCACGGTAGGTCCAGAAATGCTCCAGTGCCTAAAATGTATAATTTTATTACAATATGTATCTAACAAAAATTATGTATATATTTTTATAAACGAAGCAAAATACTACTGAGTTACACAGCAGAAGATAGAGTGTATAAATAAAATTTAATTATGACTCTGTATGGAAGAAAACCATACAGAGTCATCTAATATGCTGAAGATCACTGATGCTGAATTCATTGCAGACTCCTTGCAATAAAATTAATTAAAATGTACTCCAGTATGCGTGTTATACAAGATGTAATGTGGATATCATATACAAATATACATAACTTGTTATGTTATAAGATTATCATGAAAAGATATACAAAAAATTTATTTAATATTTTCATCAGTTAGATAGATATACAGAGTGATCTGAAAATGACAGAAATGTGGGGGAAAAAAAAAAAAAACAACTAATGACTCGAAAAATATAAACAGCACCACTATGCGGGTTCTACAGAAATGCGCAGAAAGATATGGGCCTTTTTTACTTTCTTGTACGAAGTAAAAAGGAAGTATTGTAATCGCGAAAAGTTTCAGGCAGCATATTTCAACGAAAATATCCATTTTGACCGCTATCGAAGCAATTTAACGATGTTTTTGCGTGATATCTGTAAGTAAAGACAGAATAAAACATACTTTTTCCTTCAAAAAAATATAAAACTGCTTTAAAATTAATTCTGAAGAGATTTTTCGTGGCGTCTGTACGAACGTATGTACGTACGTGCGTACGTACGTATCTCGCATAACTCAAAAACGAGTAGCCTCAGAACGTTGAAATTTTGTATATAGGACTGCTATAACATGTAGATGTGCACCTCGTATTTTGGTTGCAATCGGCCTCACCAAAACGTATATAAATATATTTATATATATATCCACTCTGTTACCGGTCAGTAATCTCAGGTTCTTACTCTTATATGTTTCTAATTGTAATTTTTTGCTTTAAAATGATTGAATTATGTTGTTATCTTCGGTTAAGGATTTTATGCCTTTAGTAAATATGTGTGCAATAATTTTAGAATCAGCAATTTAAAGTTGTTTAATTGCTCTAAGTCTTTTTTAATGGCGGCCATGATGTTTACATTTGAAACAGGAGACAGTGGATTTGTTGCCAATCTAAGAACTCAGCTTCGCAACAATAAAGATAACGCCTTCATTTATTATTGCCAATTAAATCATGTTTAATTTTTCTGTAATTTTTTCGAGGAAATAAGTGTTTGAGATTTACTTCGTAATTTTACATAGATATTTGAGTTTTTATGTATTTTTGCTCTTGCGAAGTGAGAACTGAATTAATTCAATGAAATACTCAATCGTCGTGAAAAACTGTTCTTTTTGTTTTGTTTTTAATTTCTTTTATACATATTCTAGCTTTATTACAGATTGAATAGAAAGTGGCAACAATTAGATAATTCTATTCTTTAAATGATATAATTTTGTGCATTATGAGTTATAATATAAACGAAATATTATAACGTTAACTGTTATACAACTGTTATACCAATAATTACATAACGTAAACTGTATGTAATTATTGGATTATATAACTTAGTTCCGTTAAATAATTATTTATAGTTAACTGTTATATAATATTAATAGTTAAGGAATCTACCGCCAGTGTCGCTATGGTAAACAAATACTAGAGTGAGTTTTAAAAAGCATTTATTCTACTGTGGTTTATGCGCTGTCGGCGAGTAGAGATTTAATTTAATCCAATAGTTTAAATGAAATGCAAGAAAAAATGCGTATAATTTAATATTCCAATACAAGGAAGTCATGTGATGTACACATCAGATTTTTTTAACAAAAAATTATTGCCATAATAGTTACATTTTAACATGAAGTCACAGGTGTATAGAAGTTGGCCGACGATATTGGCAATGCTAAAAGAAGATATTTGCTGTCATGTGAAAAAAATTAGAGATGAATCTTCTTAGATGTTGTGCAAAGTGTTATGCAACGTCTAACGGTCATTCTCATAATGCCGGCTGTCTCAATGAACATCTACAATTTTAGCTGCGTTGCGAACTTCTGACATAACTACGCCGCTGTACAAATTTCTGACACAACTGAAGCAAAACCTTTGAAAAAAAGTGTAATTATATTTTCAATAGAATCTTTCATCATTAAAAAATATCCCATACCTTGCTATGCATTTTTATGAAAATCGCATATTGCTACTGTACATATTTCATTGCAATGAATCATTTTTACAAGATTCTGTTATGTTTATCCTTTTCTGATCATTGTTTCTGTAAAGAAATTTGAAAGCTTATATGACACTGACAGGAAGCAGGAGTAATGTTTTTCAGAAAGCGATCAGAGGAGTGTGTGCTGCATCTTTGTCTCATTTCAAAAGAAAGTCAGTAAAAGTTCTTCTTATCATCCATGAATTGGTGATGCTATGGTAAATAAAAGGCAAATTCTTGATTCTTTTAAAGCGATTTCAGTGAAAGATAAATTCAAACTCTTTTCAAAGGTAAATTATTTTCATTTTTGATTCCTTTCCGAGCTTTTGTCAGGTACAGGTACAAGTAAAAGTAGGGAGGACACCAGTTATTTACCAACAGGTGATTCATGTGTTGTTTCTTCCTATTAAATTTCCCGAATAGCCTAGCTCGAACAGAAGATGCCCGGCTAACGCTACACCGCGGGCACTACCACTGCCAGCAGTGCATTAGGGGTTTGTTTGCATGTCCCGAATGCTTCGTTTGTATATTTATATCTATGAAAAGTTACATTATGCATGTTGGTACATAAATGTTACTTCTACATAGTGATACCACACTTTTTACATGGTAGTTACAAATTTGTTGCATATTGTTAAATCACATGAATTACGATTGTTTTCACATGTTTGTATGATTCAGTATTCTTGTGGGTTGAAGTTCTACAGTTCTTTCAGTCAACTCCATGCTGTTTACATTTCTTGCAAGGAATTCTTTTTACATATAGCATATTTTTACACAGAGTTCGCATTTGCACTCATTTTGTTGTAATCAAATAGTTTGCAAAAGTCCATACTATAAAAATTGTACCATATTAATTCTATTTCGCATATCACTGTTATGAATATACATACTGTAGTGCAGTTACATTAATTAGAATTTTTAATTTATTCTATGATTATATAAGTACTCAATTATTATGTACAAAGTTCTGTGGGCGATTTGCACTATCGTGCGTTTCGCTAGTTATAACTAGTTGTGAGATAAACTAAGAAGGGTTAAGTTACACGGAGGAACATAATTCTTGTCCTTTTGCTGTTAAAAACTCGATAATTTTTTGCATTTTTATTCGAAGGTGTTTATTTGCTGTTTACTTAAACTTAAACCATAACTTAAAAACGGATCCCCGTTATTTTAAGATCTAGTTTGTCTGCTATAGGACAATAAAAATGTAGTGCTCTGGATCACCCCTATCTCCATATACACATGTGTCACCGGAGGCTTTGCCCGTGTTCTTAATTATTGGATCCATATTGCGTTAATAACACAATAACTCCTTCCTTCAATTTCTTAAACCAACTGCTGTTTCACTTTTAAATATTAATGTGCATTCTGGTAATGTTCTGTAACACAAGTCCGGTTTTGTCTGTAATAAAACTTTCTTGTGTCTTGTATTCCTGTAGCAACCCATGTAAAACGTCTTTTCTGGTGTAATATCTACTTGTTAAGCTTTTGGAGTGACAGCTAAAGGAACCAGACAGGAGAAGGGTTAAAAGAACCCTTTATTAAAACTCTTTAAAATTCACAATGCGTCGACTTGACGCCAACAAACTACGCCTCGCTCGGATAGTAACTCAACTAACAAGAACTAAACTTAAAATTCAAAGATATTAACAAAACAGTAGAATTTTTTCCCCCAGGCTCAGATAATCCTGTTCTCTAAAACCGCGTCGAAGTCTAGTGGCAGCAAAGTAATAGCTGTTACGCTACTTCAACCAGTAATAAATGCGAGACTAGAACCTCACACTACAAACGTAGAGTGCTTCAACACACACTATCTAATTTTCCCTTCCAGAACTCAGTATTTAAACCTTTTCCTCTATTGGTAGAATTTGTATTCCTTCACGAGGGCTATCAAATTTAAATATTCTGGCATTGACAATTAGGGGAATGAAGGCTTATAGGAAAGAAAGGATAAACTTAACTGGTTATTCAAATAAATATGAGTCCCTACAACTCAGTTTAAGCTTCCTTCTCACATGCATTTTCTTCTGAACAATGTTGGATTTCTCTCTTTCTAACTACTGTGTCATCTGCCAGTTATTATAAATATCGTTCCTAGCACTTTGGAGAATTACGCAGCTTTTATAGAGAAAAGAGTTCTAGGAATAGGAACAATGTTTTAGTTTCTCAGCATGAAAAGGGCAGTTTCAACAGCCATTTGTGAGTTGACCCAAAATTCGCTCCTAGAATTTTAAGCATTTTACGGCTTTTAGAGAGTAAAGAGCTCCATGTATAAGAAAACTGTTTAATTTCATAGCTTGAAACCATTCTAGAAGAGAAATTTCTACGTGTCTCAGTTTTCCGTCTTTTTTTTTTTTTTTGCAGTTCCATGAAACCTTTTTATTTTTTTATTAGTTCCTCGTCAATTATAATTCTTTGTTTAAGTAAATCGCACAGTGCTGTTAGGAAATTCTCACTTCAAATGCAGAATTTCTCTGCCTGAATTTACCAAGATCTTTTAACAAAATATCCTTTGCATCCATCTTTAAATCTTTTCGCTTATTGCATTTTCCACATATTACAAGTTAAGTTTACAGCAAATTAAAACAAAAATCGTTCTTCCAGTAGTTTATTCAATTTTAAAACTCACTGGTTTCTGGCTATCAGAAATATTTCATTTTGTCTGTTAATTTGATCTACCAATTATGATTTACAGACAATGACCAATGCTTTCTTTGCATTTTCTTCAGCCTATAATTTACACTCAAAGATTGTTAATATTCGATAACGATAGGAAGCATTTCATGAACATTTTTTGGAACTCTTAGTG